ATGCTCCATGGGTCCATGCTGGCAGAACATCTGGAGCTAGTATGTGGGCTGGTAGCAGTTCCAAGGTACTCCATACTGGAGCCACCTTGGCAAAACAGCTGAAACTGGAGCAAGCTTGGCCCAGGTGGTCCTGGGATGCTCCAGGTTGGTGCCACCCTGGCAGTATGACTAGAGCTGAGGTGGTCACAGGCTGGGACCCTCCACGCAGGGGGTGCTCTTATGGGACCACTGCAGCCGAAGTGGGATGGGCCAGTGGGCCTCAGGGTGCTCCATGCCCCAGCCACCCCAGTGGAATGGCTGGAGCTAGGGAGAACATGGGCAGACAGGCCTCATAGGGGGAATGGGCTAGGGGCCTAGGTTCACTGAGGTGGTGGACCAGCCAGAATGCCTGGGCTCTGCTCCCATCTGTGCTACCAAGACAGAGAGGAAACATAAACAATAGTGCTTGCCAGTGCCTCCAAACCCAGACAGAGTTCCAGGAGTTGCTTCCCACCATTGGTGGACCCTCTGTTAGTAAAGGGGTTTCTTTACTTATAGTCTAGTTGCCCTTTAAATCACCATTTTGTTTTGTTTTGTTTTCCTTTGCTGCAGATCAAGCAAATCTGCACGTGGGTCCCTCAGTGCTGTCTCTCCCTATCATAGCTCATAGCATCAAGAGTGGGGTCCCCAACATTACTGTATCTCCATTTCTCCTGCCATTTTCTATGTGGTCCCTGTATCCTTCATTGTGCAGCAGCTCTTCCATCAGCCCTCAGTTGCTTCTTCAGGAAGAATTTTTCTACAGTGTAGTTATAGATTCAGTGTGTCCATGGGCAAAGGTGAGTTCGGGATCGTCCTATGCTGCCACCTAGGACTCCTCCTCCTGTAATAGCATTGTAAAGATTTTAAAGTATTATAAAAGTATTTTAAAGTATTGTCTTCCAATTTAAACATCTGGGTCATCTATGGTTCTGTTCTGTGATATTTCTTCTTTTTTTTCCTTAGAAAAGTGGGATTTATTTTTTATTATGTTTTATTATGTTATGTTAGTCACCATACAGCATTAGTTTTTGATGTAGTGTTCCATGATTCATTGTATATAACATCCAGTGCTCCATGCAATATGTGCCCTCCTTAATACACATCACCTCTTGATTATGGGTGACAGTTCCTGCTTCTTCGCATGTCAGATATATTGCTTTTCAAATTTTAAGCTGTATGTTGAGTATTAAAGAACAGAGGAGACTGAAGGAAACTAAGAGGTAGCCCCATCTCTCAGAAAGGTCACACCTTTTCCTGTCAGGCAGCTATGCTGAGGGCCTCATCTCTTCACTAAGTCAGAATTTTAAACAGTTTCACGTCCCCTTCTGGCTTCAAATATCTTGAAAGGGAAGTCTGTCCCCTACCTCCAGCAGGACTTTAGGACTCAAATAGCACAAAACCCAGGTCTCTTTGCTTTCTGACCTTGCCCCAGTTCCAGTTTGGGGTGATTTAATATCAGTTCCTTTCTCCCACCCACTTTCTCATATTTTGGCCCAGAATGGACTCATACATATGTAAACACATAGCTCATAGGCCTGGAGTCAATGGCTGCTTCCCCAACATTGAGTACAGGTCAGAACAGGGGAGGGGTAAGTGTGAGCTGCATGCACACATTCTCCATGAAGCCTGCAATGATTTCCCTGCCAAATCCTTCAAATGACTCAGCAATTACCCCTTAAGTCCAGTGAAGGAGATCTCTTAGGACCCCAAAGAGCCTCCTCTTCATTCAGACATTCCATCATGAAAAACAAAACTGAGCTTTCCTCAGTGGGTTCAGCTGAGAAGGAAACTTCTTCAGGGAACTGGAAGAATCTATAATGTTGTATTTTAGACATCTGGGATCAAGGTAGCCTTGAAGAGTGACTTTTGGATTTTGAAAGACTGAAAGACCTGGATTTCAAAGACTGATATTTGGCCACACATGCTAAGTGTTGTAGCCCCTGCTGCTTGGAATTATAAATGAGTGGCCTTAAGTTGACTTAGAGCACAGTGCTGTCTCTTGACCAGAGGACCTGGTATGTCATCCTCCTCTGAGCATCAGCTCTTTGATTCTTGTAGCCAGAGCACCCAATTGCCTAGCTGGAAAGGGCTTCTCCAGCAGGAATGTCCAGTGTTATGACTGGAACCTTTCTGCCTACTCTCCTCACTCTCTGTCACACGGGGAGTCCCCTATAGCACTGTTAGGCCTGAGGAATGATTGCTGGTGCCACTGTGTCCAGGTCCCCCACCACCAACACTCCCAGCTCCCCTTGTCAATCAATATGCCATGTTTAGACCAGGATACAGATCAAGGGGCAAGAGACGTTCTTAATCTTGAGCTTCAGGGACTGTGCCAGTTTTATTTTTTTTTTAAGATTTTATTTATTTATCTGACAGAGAGAGAGAGAGAGAGAGAACACAAGCAGGGGAAGTGGGAGAGGGAGAAGCAGGCTTCCCATGGAGCAGGGAGCCCGATGTGGGGCTTGATTCCAGGATCCCAGGATCATGACCTGATCCAAAGGCAGACACTTAATGACTGAGCCACCCAGGCACCCCAGGGACTGTGCCAGTTTTATGAGACTGTAAATAATGATGGCTGTCCTGTCCAACTATGTCGTCTGTGACAGGCTCTGCTTTAACATAGGCATCATCTCACTCTATGCCATATTTGTGTATTTATATATAAGGTAGGTCCTAACTTTCATAGATAAGCACTTACTTAATAGTAGTTGAAGTTTAATCTTTTGAGCTTAAATATGAAACTTTTGCGTTCTCAACCTAGTAGTCTGAATGTCTTAAAGCATCGATCAAAAGAAACCTGCCCAAAGAGAGCAAAATATGAACTGTAGAACTTAAAAGCATATGGGTATTCACTGTAGAATTCTTTCCATTTTTCTGCACGTTTGAAGTCTTTCACAAGTTGTTCGGGGGGGGGATGATCATTTGCAATGATGCTCTCAAACTCTGACTTCCTGTGGAACTTTCACAAAGCCACTAGTAGGAAAACACATGTGTAGCCATGTTTGAAAATGTATCACTCATAGGATAGGTGTAAAAAGAAAAACATTAAGAAAGTCTTTATTTTCTCTGAATAAAATTTAGAAAATAGACAAAATGAAAAAAATAATGTCTCACAAGCTCACTTATACGGCCATTAAAAACTTCCTATACAGTAATATGTCTTTCCAATCCTTTTTCTGTTTACACTTAGTTTGATGTTAATATATTGTAACCTTTTAAAAATTTGTAATTTGTTTAATGGCTGTGTGGTGTTCTATCATATTAAGTTTTATCATGTACCATACTATAGTTCCCAAACCTAATTACTCACAAAATCACCTGGGAACTTTTTTTTTTTTAAATACAGATTCTTAGGATTCACATACTAAGTAAGAATCTCCAGGGATGCTGAGGAATCTGAATTTTTGAAGCCCACCCTCTGATTGCAATGCATTTAATTAACCTACTAATTAATTAGCACATACTTCATTTATTTAATCCACTATTGTTGAATATGAAGTGGTTTCCAAGTTTTTACTATCGTAAACAACAATCACAATAATACCGGTATCTGTAAGGACAGGTGCCACTCTGCATACACAGACATTTATTTCCTGAAGAAATAAAGTGCTTTATTTGGTTTTTTAAAAAACGATTTAGTGATCAGGGAATTACAAAGTAACTGCAGTTCTTAGTGCTCACCCCACCACAAGCAGGGAACTCCGAGGAAGACTGGCAGTCCTCCAAGCTGACTTGGTCGACTTCAGAAGGGGTCAATTGGGAGATAAAGAGTCCTAACAACCCTAAGAAAGAAGCTCTCAAAGACCGAAGTCGGCCTTCTCCCTTGTCACTATAATCACAAAGGTCCTGCTCAAAAGGGCCCCCTTGAGACTACAGCACTGAAATTGGCTCTATCTTCTGCTGTCTCATGCTGCTATTTTAAAATTCACATTTGGTAGTTCACATGGTATGGATCCCCAAGAGCAGTTTCTCAAGCTTAGTCTCACAGACTCCTAACTATTCTCAGTCATGTATTAAATGTATTCTCAAGCGCAATACATTTAAATGTATTTCCACTTTGATGGTAATATACATACAAGGTTCACGTTCAGCCACATTATAGCCACAGAAGTTCAGGCCTGCAGTCCTATGTTTAAGATCAAAATGGCACAAGGTCACTACCCAAAAACAACTGAAACAATATTTCCCAAACTAGGATCTGTGTACATAAAACCTCAGGGTTCCTAGAGAATTTTTGTTCCCTTAAAAGGACTTTATACCTTACTGGAAGTTGAGAGCCACTGACTTGAAGTGGAGGGGCTAAACTGCTCTCCTGAACCGCACTCCGCAGAAATGAAGGCTGTGCAGTGCGGCACACCGGGTCACTTGTGAGAGGTCTGCGCCAGGCCGTCCAGCCCCAATTCTTGGACCCTCCCCCAGAACAATGAGCATCACTTCCTTGCCTTTTAACTTCCGGACAGAAACTAACATTCTGGGTCTCAAGAAAACGTTCAGACCATCAGGCCCAACCCACTCACAGCTGATGGGAAAAGGGAGGCCCGGTGATGGGAAGTGCCTTAAGAGAGGTCACACAGCTAGTTGAGCAGCAGGGCAAAACTGGAGCGTAAGCCATCTATCCCAACTTCAGTGCCTCGGCTAATCCGTAGAGAAGGCTGATTAAAGACCCCACGTACCTCATTCCCACCATCCGCGACCCCTTTCTGTCCTCCCCTGATACCCTAGGTCCCCGTGGTCCTCTTCAGGCCGTCTCGCCCCGCTCTACTCCAGCTCTTGACAAGCAGTCCACACGCCCTAACCGCCCGCAACCCCACGGTTTCTGGCCTTCCCCCCCCCCAACCTACAGTACACGCGAGCTGAGAAAGCCCCACGAAGCAGAGACAACCTCAAGACTAGCAGGGCCTCTGGGGGCGGCGGAGCCGCCCTCAAAGCGCATGCGCTACCGTAGGTCGGCGCCCGTCATTGACGTCACGGGTGACGTCATTCGCGAGCCCGAGCGCTTGCGACCCCCTCTGAGAGTTGGAGCGTCTCGGTCTGGCGACTTAGCGTGGCGCGTGAGCTCGGGCACAAGAAGTCGCTCCAGCCCAAACTTTGACAAGAGAAGTTCTGATGGCTGAGGGCTGCTGAAGACAGTGAAGAGAGGTCAAGAGTGAAGGACGCCCGCGGAAACCGTCACCAGAGCGGTCCGGAAGCGGCCGAGGATGAAGAGTAAGCGAGGTTGAAGGCCTCTAAGCTGGGGAGGGGTGGGATGTAAAGGGTCGGGAACTTGGTGCTGGTAGGTGAACGGGTTCGCGGCGGAGACCGAATGAAACTGCTAGGGCAATGTCCCGCCTTACATAAGTGAAACCGAGGCCCAGAGTCCCGGTTGGCCTGGCTCAGTCTCTGAGCTAGAGATGTATGTCAGAGCTGGCGACAGGTCCCCAAGGGGCCTGCTTAGTGTGCTAAAGGAGGACCCAAGGCCTGGGGCCGACTTGGCCGCCACCTGCCACCTGGTGACAGTGGTTAAGGGCCCGATCCTCTCCACGACCTGGTTTCCCCTTCTGTGAGGTACTGATAGTGGTGCCTGCCCAGCCTGCTGTTCCAGGAAAGGACCCTTGTCTGGTGGAAAGCGCTGGGAGCGTGCTGAGGAATGGTATGGTAACCCAGGACTTTGGGAGTTGAGGGGAGAATAACTGTGCCAAAGAAGGGAGCAAGCTCCCAGGGCAGTTATAAGCAGGAGAGTGTAGACAACGTTAAAATTGGTCTTTGGACTAGTATGTTCATTTCCACCTCTGCCACTCCCTATCTCTGTGATCAAGTGATGTGTCTCAGTATATCTGAGCTTCAGTTTTCTCATGTGCATTATAGGATAATATCTCCTTTAAAGGATTGTTCAGAAAAATAATGAGATAAAATGTATAGCTTTTAGCCAGGGGCATGGCAAGTAATGAGTGCTCAATAACTGGTAGATGTGTATTGTTCCAGAAAAGACTTTCAAGTCTAATTGAAGCACCTGTGACAGTTGAAGCAAAGTCATTCCTGGGGTTGCTCTTTAGAAACAGGTTTTAATGCCATTCTTGCATTTGAAGGAGAATCAGACTCTGTATATAATATAATATACTGTGTATATTGTATAATACAAATACTTTGGTTTGCTTGTTCAAATGTACTCAAGGAAGCACAAGGGAGCAGGGGTGGGATTTACAGAGTGTCCTGTAAACCAGATTTTCGAGTCTTTTGACACTTAAACCAGGCCTTTGTCTTATACTTATTCCATTGATACCCATACTCTGTCCCCAGAACCATGTTTTTCTTCTTCACACAAATGAAGTAAGAAACAGGAGTGTGGAGTTTATTTAGAGGTTGAAACCACATTGATCAATATATATTTTGAGCTTGAAGAAAGACCTACTGTGTTTTATCAGTGTAGGACACCATCTATTGTATGCTACACCTTAATTTCATAGACATTAAATGTGAAAAATCTTTTTTTTTTAAACATCTTACAGTCAACAAAATGTGGTATTTCCAACCATCTGCATCCTGGGAAACTCTATCATATAACTTTTAAATGAGTACTTAATTAGACTTACAGAGCAACTATTCAATCTCCTAACCTGTGGTATATTAAACCAGTCAGTTCCTAGTATGATCTACTAAACTGCAGTAGCATCTGAAACTTCTTAGAAATACAGGATCCGGGGGTGCCTGGGTAGCTTAGCGAGTTAAGCATCTGCCTTTGGCTTAGGTCATGGTCCCAGGTTCCTGGGATGGAGCCCTGCATCAGACACCCTGCTCAGTGGGGAGTCTACTTCTCCTTCTCTGTCTCTCTGACCCCCCCCCGCCCCGCTTCCGTATGCTTTCTCTTCTCTCTCTCTCTCTCAAATGAATAAATTTAAAAAAAAAAAAAGAAAGAAATGCCAGATCTGGGAGTGGAGCCCAAGTATCTACATTTTAATAAGAACCTAGAGATTCCTACATGAATTCGTATTTGAGAAGCATTGTTTTATTTTTATTTCTTTTTAAAGATTTATTTAATAGAGAGAGGACTTGGAGGGGAGGGGCAGAGGAAGAGAGAGATTCTCAAGCAGACTTGCCTAGAGCTCATAGCCAGATACAGGACTCAGTCCCAGGACCCTGAGATCATGACCTGAGACGAAATCAACAGTTGGACATTCAACTGACTGAGAAGCACTGCTTGAAAGCACACTCTTGGAACTCCTAGGACGGGCAGCCAGAGGGTATAATAAGAGGCATCCAAGAAGCTTGGGCTCTTTGTAGCACCCCCACCTTCTCCTGTGTCTAAATAAGCATAGTTTCATAGTTAGAAAAGTCGTGGGTCTTATAGCTGTACCCAAACTGAGTTGATCATTTCTTGTTGTTTGTTTGAATCCCCCAGGTGTGGTCTACCATTCCTTTTCTCAGGAAGAGGCCAAAGAGTTCGACGTTCAGGTACAATGCATGGCAGGAAGTCTGGGAGCAGCAGAGGTGATGACAAAGATGGCTCAATACCTCGTACTGCTTTAGATGTCCTTCCCACATCTTACTCCTCATCTTTCCAGTAGACGAGTTAGGCTTAGTCAAGATCTGTTGTTCTGCTGGCCTGTTTCCATATGCTGGCCTCTTTTTCCCTTGTTCAGTTAACTGGGACCTCTTGCTCCTTGTGTCATCTCCCACTGTGTAGGGGACCCTAGGCTGTGTCCAGCTGAAACCTGTCCTGGTGAGCGCTGCCATTTATCCTTGTCACAGTGGCCCCTTTACTCTTGAAGAGGGCAGGCAGATCAGTTTCCTCAGTGGAATTTATGGATTGTATCTGGATGCTGCAAACATGCTTTGTCAGTTTCACAGAAACCCCACTGGGGACTCCTAATGAGGGAGTTAACATGAAATCAAGATTTTAAAAGACTGATACACCTTTATTTGGTTTCTTCATGAAGAAGGGCCACTTAGGTATTTAAAAGAAGCAAATAATTGTCCTGTCACTATAATAATAATGATGACAATGACTCTTTAGTTAGTATCTAAAGGTGCCAAGTGGAAGCTGACTGTCATCCTTACTGTGAGCCGCCTTGAAGATCGAGTGTCTCACATCACACCCTCGCCAGCCCCCTTCTCCATAAGGGAGAACGTGATTATTGACACATTAGCTTCACGGGGTTGGCAGCCTGGTTAGCGCAACAGGGTTTCAGGAAATCCCCAGCCAAGAGGCAGGACCTGGGCAGGCAGTGCCGCCTGGGCTGTGGCCGACCTAGGACATGGGCAGCTGAATGAGGAGTAGACGGTGGAAGTCCCAACGTGAGAGGCAGTGACGTTCGGAGTTCTCTCAAGAATTGCACTCAGTTAGGACAGTTCTTTTGCCCATATGTCCTAGGAGTCTGTGCTAGGTCACGGTCAAATGCTGTTCTGCTCTATGTGGGAGAGAGTGAGCACGGGAAGCTGAGGTGCACTGCTACTTCCTTTCCCCAAGATCTGGGGGAGCAGACCTAGTGAGTAGCCATGACGCACCATGGGGCCAAACGCACGTAAAGAGGATTGCAGCTTGGGCACCGTGTCAAAATTCCTACCCCCCAAGTCGTGGCCCACCCTGGGGCACCAGGAGGTACCATTTTCCCAAGTGTTAGGATCATTTCCTTCGAGGCCATAGCTTGGTTCTACTCTGAGCTTGCCCTCATCTGGTCACGACTGAATAAATATTGTTGTCATACATTTCTCAAGCTTTCCTCCCTGCCAAGGATCAGAGAAGTCTTTTCTTCCTAATGTAAAGGGTTTGGGTTTTTTTTTTTTTTTTTTTAAATCCTCGTCAAAATAACCTCAGAGAAGTGGAGTAGGAAGTTGACTTTGATGTGGCTGTTTTGTGTGCAGTCACTAATTGGTCTTTGAGTGTGACTTTCACATCTGGACAGCTGTGGGTGGCTCACATTCAGCAGATGAGAGGCTGTGTGAGGCTCAGTCGGGACACAGATGGGTCAGTGAAGGCATCCTATCTGTGGTTTGTCAGAGGGCCTGGGGTTGGGGGCTGCCCCCACCAGAACAGTGAGCACCATGCCACCCTGTCCCCATGCAGCTTCTGGGAGCCCAGCAGGCCGAGGCCTTCGTGAGGGCCTTCCTGAAGCGCAGCACGCCCCACATGAGCGAGCAAACCCGTGAGAACCAGCTGCGGCGCAAGGCTGTGGTCCTGGAGTACTCCACTCGCCGGAAGCAAAAAGAGAAGAAAAAAAAATCCAAAGGCCTCTCCGCCAGGCAGAGGAGGGAGCTGCGCCTCTTTGACATTAAGCCAGAGCAGCAGAGGTATGCCAAGCCCTTTCTGCCTTTCTACCTAAGGCAGCTGGATCTTCCTGGAGTGGGTGTGAATTTGTGAAGCCCAGTAGCAGGGCTGGCAGCCCCTTTTCCCCTGAAGCTAAGGGAGCCTCTCCCACTTCTGCCACAAGGGGGCAGCCTTCCTTTACCAATTCAGGCTAGGTTTGCACTTGGCTTTTAAAGCAAGGCACAGTGAGGCTCTTGCTGTTTTACTGTCTGGCTTCGGTCCTAGCCTTAACTAATGAGACCCATACCATAAGTGAGTCTGTTACCCATGGCAGCAGGCTGTTTGTCTTTCAGCTTTCCTAGAACAAGAGGGACTGATGTATCTTAATATATCCTCTTTCTAGCTTTTAATAGCACTAGACAGAATCATCCACTGGGTTTTATTGCCAAAGAGCATGCTGCCCACGTGTTTCAGAAGTTTCTGAAAAGGAGGCATCACTCTGTGGGAGGACGTGCACCTGCCTCCAGCTGACACTGCATCATCCCTCCTTGGCCATGCTCCTGCATATGCTCATCTTCGGACTGTTTGTAGACCTTCGCTCCAAGATCTGTAGCCAAATAGCCTCCCACATCCCACAGGACAAAGTCAGTCACTTTGTCCGTGACCTCGCTTGCAAAAAGAGCTGGGCTTTGGGTAGAGGAAGGGGCGACTGCCTGCCCAGGTTTCCTCTGGTGTCCTCCGGTGTCTGCACCAGTAGAGCCCACTTCAAGTTTGAGCCTGAGGTTCTCCTTGGTCTGACCAACGGTTCCCTATAACAGGTTCCCCATGAGGCACGAGGACCAGTAATAATGACCCCAGAGGAAAGCCTTTGAGGTCCTCTCACCTGGTCCCTCCCCTGTGTCCCACAACTTGCTCACTCACCTTCCAGACAGACCTGTTCCCTTATGTGGGGACGTCCCTGGCAGCCAGCAGCTCCTGTTTACTCCCCTCACCAGGTCAGCTCTTGTAGCAGAAGACCTCAAAGAGTAGTGGTTAAGCAAGACTGAAGTTTATTTCATGAAAGCCGTCCAGATGAGCACTCCCCTGCCCCTCTGCCCCGGGCTGGTGGCAGAGACTCGGCAGTGCCGCCCTGGGAGCACCCTGCTTCTCCTCCATCTGTGCATGGTGCCTCCTGGTCTGGGGTCTGCTGGAGCTCCAGCTGTCCAGGCTGCATCTGCCAGCAGGAAGGAGGGAGGGGCAAAGGAGGGCACCCCCTTCCTCCCCTCCTTAGCCTCAAGAGGGTTCTAGCAGCAGAAGTTGAGGCTCAGGAGGGGGAAGCACTTGACTGTAGTCAGTTGGGGGGTTATCTACTCTAGAACTAGCAACCACAGCCAGTCCCCAGTGACCCAGCTCGGGGTCCTTGGCATCAGGCCATGCTCTGTGCTCTTGTCCCAAGCTCATGTCGCCTAACTTTTTACTTCTCTCTAACTTTGCCACAGGTACAGTCTTTTTCTCCCTCTGCATGAACTCTGGAAACAATACATTCGGGACCTGTGCGGTGGTCTCAAGCCAGACACGTGAGTTGCATGTCTGAAGCCTTGCCCTCTGGGGCAGAACCCAAGGCTTACGATGACTGTAAACGCAGCCTTCTGAGCCAGCTGGCTACAGAAATTTGTAGACCTGTGTGCGCCCTTCAGAACTCTTGATCATGCTCAACACTGAGGGCTTCTGTTTCCCTCCTAGGCAGCCACAGATGATTCAGGCCAAGCTGTTAAAGGCAGATCTTCACGGGGCTCTTGTTTCAGGTACCTCGCCTAAGAGCACATGGTCCCCCGCACGCCCGCACTGTCACTCGGTGGCAGTGCGGCCCTGTGCCACAGGGCTAGACACACTCCTTGTCACGTGGGTATTTCCAGGTCACCAGCATTGAGGGTGGGAGATGACTAGCTACTTGAACTCGTTCTGGCCACTTTTTGGATACACTCTAAATGGTCTTTATGTGCCTTTCCACACAGGGACCCCTAGTGCTCTCCCAGGGGGCACACAGCTGGTGGCACGTGCCCCCAGCCCTGAATGGGAAGTCCCTTTCATCCATCTCCCCCCAGTTGTCAGTCTCAGTACGGACTCCCAGCTCCCAGTGACGTCTCCAGGGCAGACCTTCCCCTGAACATCTCCATTCATCCAACTGCCACTGTGCACAGCCACCCACATGTCCGGGAGGCATCACAACTTTTCCATACACCCAACAGCTCCGGCCTCCTCACCTCAGCCCCTGCCCCAGTGTTCCCCAGCTCCGGTCATGGTAGCACTGTTTACCCTGGTTGTTCAGGCCCAAAACCTGGGTGGGATCGTGTTTCTTCTTCCCTGATGCCTCAGCACCAATCCATCAGCATGTCCTAGCACCCGAATCCGAGCCACCACTGTCTCCCCTGGATTCCTGTAGAAGCTGCCTAACCCTCTCCCTGCTGACACACTGCTTCTCCCCCAACCAGGCAGCCAGGGGGAAGGTTTTATACCAAAATTCAGGCCATGTTTGTCTTCTGCTTCCTTACTGTGGCCTAAAAGCCCTCTCTGACTTTATCGAGCACCAGGTCTAACCACATCAGCCTGCTTTCTGCTTCTCACACACCAGGTTTGGCCCCACCTCGGGGCTTTTGCATTTGTTCCTTCCCTCTGCCCAGAGTTCTGTGTGTTCACAGACTGACTGCTTCTCATTATTCAGGTCCCTACTCAGATGTCACTCTCTCCAAGGGCCTACAAGTGACCCTCCTCCCCATTACCTTCTGTTTTTTCTTCATAACAGTTACCGCTATCAGAAAATGCAGTCATCTGACGTGGTGCACATTCACCTCCTAGCGTTAGAACATCAGCTCCTTGAGAGCAGAACCTAGAACAGTCTTGTTCACTCCCTTGCCCGGTACTGACCTCGGACAGTGCCAGGCACGTAGGAGGTGCTCAGTGAATGGCTACGGGTTATGCTGGGACATGGGTCAGGAGAGCTGAGGGACCGGCTGCCTGTGGTGGCAGTTCACCTCACTCACTCCTCCACAGCCTGTAGCAAAATTCCATGCTGGCCAGAGTTTGGGACGTCATGGGAAGGCCATGATGGACAGGTGTTCCTTCAGATGCCATCAGTGAGACTTGGCCCCGTCCCAGCAATGTGTGGGTCTTGGTGGTGCTGGACATACACGTGGCCTCTTGGCTCCATAGTCCCTCCCAAGACCCCCGTGGCTGCAGGCCCTCCAAAGGACACCTTGTCAAAGCAGCCCAGAGGCTGTAGAGCCACAGGCAGGAGATTGGGACCTGGGATTCTCATCCAGCTTGGTCCCTGTCCAGCTGAGGAGCCCCCCCCACTCCCCACCGCCCCCACCTAGCTGGTTGTGGCTCCCCGAGCACCACCGAGGCTGAGGCCTTGAATGCCCTTTTCCTTTGCAGTCACAAAATCCAAATGCCCCTCCTATGTGGGTGTTACAGGAATCCTCCTACAGGAAACAAAGCACGTTTTCAAAATCCTCACCAAAGAAGACCGCCTGAAAGGTATGTAACTGTCTCAGGGTGTTGTGGCCTGTGGCCCACCCAGCTTCGTCAGCCCTCTCCCCGTGGCTTCAGCGGGTCAGTTTGGCCTCGCACATCAGCACAGATTGCAGATACCTGCTGACCGTACATTGCATGCCTGGTGAGCGCACCCTCTGCCCTCATGGTTCTCCCCAGGGCATCTTGGAGCCCAGCCAACCACTGCAGCCAGATACGCTGGGAGGAAAGGCTGCCTCCCGCCGGAGGAGCGGAGCTAAGCAGACCGTGAGGGGAACTAGGGTAGTGCCTGTTCCTGGAGTTCCAGGATCTTGCCCTTCCTGGTGACCCTTTGGGTTCCGGGAAGGCAAGTGCGGGCTCACCCACCCGGTGTGCCAGGGCTCATTGTTGTAGCGGAGATGAGTGTACGCAGCCGGGCTGTCAAGATTTCCACACTCCTTGCCCACGAATCTGAGATTGTGAAACACAGTGGGAGGTTTTGATTCCTTGAATTTTGGAGCTTGATTTTTCTCGTTGCTTCCTTCCGCTTCCTTGTTTATTCTTGTCTCACTTTAAACCTCAGAAAGTGGTGTCTATGTGTCATCACTGAGCATAAAGCCATGAGTCCATCTGAGAATTATGTGGGAAGACCTGCTTCTAGCACTTTTCCTGGGAGTTTGGCTTAGAGCCTTTGACCCTGAAAATTAGGTGTTGAGTTATATTTAAAATCTGAATAAATCGGTCTTATGGCAAAATAGAGCCATATAATTCTGGTGCTGCTAAGCTTTGTGGACTCTCCATTTCTTGTTAACTTATGTTTTAATACAGACATTTTAGGAATAATATTGTGCATCAACATGAACTTAACTGTCAGGATTTTTTTTCCTTGTCCTTTTTCCTCCTAGTTTTTTGTTTTGTTTTGTTTTGTTTTTCCAGTTGTCCCCAAGCTAAACTGTGTGTTCACAGTGGAAATCGATGGCTTCATTTCCTACATTTATGGAAGCAAATTCCGGCTTCGGTCAAGTGAACGATCTGCCAAGAAATTCAAAGCAAAGGGGACAGTTGACCTGTGAGGTCTTTGCTGCAGAGATGATTGTGACCCCAAGGTCGTTGAGAGAAAAGCCTGGCAGGATAAGCACAAGTTGACCTGACTGGTGGCATGATTAGGTTTTTATTTTGCATCCTTTTCTGTGTCTCCTGAGTGTTCCGTGATGAATCCATTGTCTATGTAATCATAAAACGTAAATCCCTGAGCTTTTTCTTTTGCTCCAGGAGAAGCAGCGGTGCCAGTCACTTGGCTTTGTCCATGTGACCCACTGGGCCCCCGCACTGGAGGAGAAAGGCCCTGGCGAGGGAACGTAAATTCCGACTCTGACAGGAGAGCAGGAAGGCCTCGCTCGCGGCCACTTTGCCTCCCGGAGGCTCGGGGTATGCCCGTGCCCATCCGTGTGGGGTCCGTGGCTCATCGGGTCCAGGGTCGGTTCGGATGCTCTCCCGCTGCCACCATCAGTCCCTGTGCTACAGGTCGCAGGTCCCAGCACCACCAGGGACAGGGCAGCTGGTCCGGCTGCTGAGCCCTGTGCTCTGACAGCCTGGTTTTGCCACAACGGACTCAGCCTCCGTGCTCGCTCGCCCAGGGCCTCGCCACCTGAGAGCGTTGAGCTGGGATTTGACCCCCACGGTCTGGCTGCAGAGCCATGCTTTTGACCACAGGGATGAGAAGACCGTGCTCTATGTGTGTAACGTGGTCACCTGGGCTCCACTGAGGAGGTCGCTGCCTTCCACGGACCATCCGAATGTGCCACGCGGGGAACGGCCTGGGTGCTGCGATTCCTTCAAGCACTCTGCTCATGCCCACTGCTCTGCAAGGGAAAAGGTGGCCAGCGTGTAAATATGCAGCTGCTTTCCAAAATCGTTGTCAGTGCCACTTGGTTTGTGAAATCTGTTTTTCATGGCGCAGACTCCAGTTTCCATGTCAATGGCTGTTAGTAGCCTTCCCTCCCCCTTTCCCCGTGGACACTTGACAAGAACACTCACCGCTGTCCTGCCTGTTTCCAGGACGCCATGTTGTCCCCACAGCCCACCCGAGGACCGTGCCGTCCCCCGAGGGCCCAGGCCAGGCAGGACACCGGCCCCCAGGGAGCGTCCCGGTGAAGCTGCACTAGCTGCTCCGCAGAACCAGGCTGAGGCCTCAGCTGTGGCACAGGGCCGGTGGGTGGGGGGCGCTGTGGTAGCTTGCAGTCCAGTCTCCCACCTCCACTGCCCCAGGAGCAGGACCCCAGTACAGCTGCGGCCTTGGAAGTGTAGGCCTGTGGGAGACACAGCTACACCGGCCTCATGTGTCAGTCCACGCACGGGAGAAACCAGAGAGGCCCACAGAGCAGCAGAGCGGTGACCACCTCGGGACGAGACTCAGGAGCTCCAGGGCCAGGAGACCTCAGCCCAGGGACCCACTGTTCTCCAAGAAGTGAGTGGACCCGAGGGCCCTTTATATTCCCCAGAGCCGAGTCTGTGTGTGGAGGACCGGACCTTAGTGCAGGGCCCACAGAGGACAGGCCGGAGCCTTTCCAGGGGGAAGAAAAGGACGAAGCACCTGGAGGGGAAGGTGAGGGACGGCGCGGGTCATGGCCACTGTGTTAGCTTGGGCTGCCATAACAAAACTCTGCAGATGGGCAGGGTAAACAACAGAACATTCTTCCGCACCGCTCCAGAGGCTGGAAGTCCAAGATTAAGGTGCCCTCAAGGTTGGGGTCTGGTGAGTGCTTTCTCCTTGGCCACCTTCTTGCTGTGTCCTCACGTGGCCTTCCCTTGGTGCACACCGGTGGAGAGAGAGAGAGATCTGTTGTCTCTTCCTCTTCTTATTAGGACACCAGTCCTATGGGATAGGGCTCCACCTTTATCACCTCATTTCACCTTTTTCTCTTTTTCTCAGTGCAGTCACTCTGGGAATGAGGACTTTGACAGGAATTTGTGGGGACATAATTCAGTCCGTAATAGCCGTGGAGCTGCCCCAGCCAGAACAGAAGCCCCCTGTTGGAGCCCCTCAGAAAGGCTGCAGTACCCACCCTGGCTCCCATCCTCAGACACTGGCCTGGCCTGCCCACACCCCTGCTCAGGGTGCTTGCGCCACTAGCCGGTTCAGCCAGCCCAGCTGCTGGACCTTGAACTCCCCTCACCCCTGGGTTCCAAGACTGGCTCAGACAGGAACGTAGGTCCAGCTGCTCCTCCATCGCCAGCTTCCCTTCCACTTCTGCAAACCACTGAGCTCCTCCCTCACCCTCCCATCGGGGCCCGGCACAGTGGTGGGGGAAGAAATGCATGCACAGGTGGCAGGGCGGACAGGGAGGCTCCCTGGAGGTGGGGGCTCAATCCAGGCAGCTCTGGGATGTGAAGAGTGACACTGAGGACCAGGCTGGCAGAGCAGTCGTGGAGGCCCCAGGACATCACCTGCCCATGAGACCCAGGGCCAGCAGGAAGGAAGGTGGGAAGGGGTGGGGGGGCTCTGGCTACCAGTCCCAAACCGATAGGAGGTATGTCAGGTTCTGCCCAGTTCAGTAGGAAGAGAGAGGTGCCAGAGAAGTTGTAAGCCATGGGGCAAGGTGCGGAATCCTGCTGACCCATTCGCCCAGTCCTGATGTCTTTGGGGACCTCCATGTCACCATCTGGCAAGTGGGGCCATGAGACCAGGTGAGGGTTTCCTGAAGGGGGATCCTGGGACTTCCTGCATCTGCAGGACACCTGTTAAAAGCCAGCTCCCGGGCTGCAGTCAGACTCCAGGGGTGGGGCCCAGGCAGCTTCGTGGGTCTCTCAGACTCCAGATGGTGTCTAAAGTGTCTTCCAGCTCAGACGTCTGGACTGTGATCTAAGATTTGGGACTCTCGGGATGGTGTTTTCCGGATGGTGGAAAAGATTGTCAGATGACGGATCTCTCGGGTTCTGAAGAGTAAACATGAACATTCCCCCCACAAGCCATAAATTATGGTAAAAAGCTTTCTTTCTGGACAGTGGCTTTGGTTTTAATTTAGTTTGCATTTCTTAGCTATAATGCCTAATTAAGACATCTGTTAAATGTCTATAATATTAATTTAATAGGGGGGTTCTAATAGAACTGTATTGGAATTGTCCATTTAATTAACCTCGTGGGCCTTTAATGGATGTCTTAAATAGACATCATTAACAAGAGTGCTAGACAAATTAAAATTAGAGTCAATAACATTCTTGGTAATTTTTCCTGAGCTGTGAAGGACGAGTGTTGCTAAGTAGACAGACGCAAGGACGGGCTGCACAGAGGAGTGTGGGGGCCCGCATCCCCAGCAGGGCTCCAGCATGGGTAGGGCCCCCAGTGGGGTTCAGCCATGGTGCGTCCTGGCCTCCCCTTCGAGCACCTGCACACACAACGCTTGCTGGCCTGGTCCCTTAGACCGAGCTCTAGGTACGGAGAGGGTGGCCAGGGTGGAAGATGGACCTAAATCCCGGGTCGCTGCATGGCTCGCGTTGAGATGGGACAGACGAGGATGGGGCAGGATGGTCTGGGCCGGGGGCTGGAGTGGGGTGAGGGGAGGAAGTGGGGAGCATGCCCATTTGCCCCCACCACTCCGTGGAGCAGTCTTGCTCAGCTGAACTACACTTCCAAAGCCGGGGCACGGTTTCCCATCTCCACATCTCAGGGGGCCTCTCAGGGTGACAGTTAACCATGCCTTCTCTCCTGAGGCACCTTTGTGTCCCCTGAGACACCCTGACTGTCCCCCGCCTCCTGGCCACTCCCTCTTTGTCCTTTCATGGATCCTCCTCTCTTCCAATCTTCTAAATGTTGGAATGCCCTGAGCTCCATCCTCGGACTCCTCACCTTTCCCCTTAGCTGGTCTCACCCACTACTTCCAGCACACTTGACTCAGAAGATGGTGTTGGCAGCCCTGCTTCTCCCCACCCCCACTCCTGAATGCAGAGCTTTATCGTCTGCCTCTCCTAATCCCAGTGGGAGCTCCCGTGAGCTCACGATGACTCCGCTTTAATGGCTGCTGTGTCCCCAGTGATCTGGAAGCACTCGCTGACCTGGAATGGGTGCTCAGTGAACATTCATTGGGGGATGGACACCACTGCTCGTTGACCTCCCCACCTGCATATGCAGTGGCATCCTGAGCTGCCGTGGCTGGGCAAGAATCATGGACTCCACAAGTGCGCTCCGCCTCTCCCCACCCCACCTCGGTGATCGGCTTCTGTCTCCCCACTTATTTAGGCCAGAAATGCAGGAGCCCTCCCACCTGTCTGGTCTTCACACCTGCCCCCCATCCGGCTCTCCCTCGTCTGCCCTGCGCCTGCTCTCAGTCATTCACCCACCGGCCCTCGCGGCCTCCCTGCCTCCACATGTGGCCCCACCACAGCCAGGTGACCTTTGTGGTGCAGGACTCAGATCTTATCAGTCTTCTGCTCAAAACCCACAAGTGACTTCCCAGTACGCTTAGAATTAAACCCGGCATCTGACCAGGGTCATCGAGGGCCCCCCAAGACCTAACCCCAGCCTGCCTCTCCCAGCTCCCCAGAGTCCCGCCCCCGTGCCTTCCCTACAGCGCTGTCCCACTCAGACTGTTGTCATCTTCCCGGCAGCCCCCGCCTCTGCACTCAGCTCTCCCCCGCTGGCCTCCCTCCCTCTCAGCGGCCCCCCAGCGGTCCCTTAGCATGCGACCTCATTTCTCATGTACACGGCACTTGTCAGGAACCTTCCGTGCTGGTTCAGCATCCTTTTCTTCCCCCAGCACCTAGACGCCGTGAGCACCAGGACTTGGCCTGGCTTGTCCACCACTGTGACCGTTGTAACCTCAGTGCCATCCAGAACCCTGCCCTCTACATCCCGAGGGTTCCGTTAAATACTTGTCTGACCCAGCACAGTGAGCCGACGGTGGCTAAGGGTGGCCGCACACAGCCGCGGTGACCCCCATCTGGCCCCGACAGACGCCTTCCCCGGCAGAGTAGCGCTGCACCCTGAGACCCCCAGGCCCCCCCCCCCAGCATTTCAGGCGGGCTGGCTCCCCCGACAGCAGCAGCGCCCAGGTGCCATGGTGGCCCTGCCCCTCCTGCTTCCCAGCCAGGTGAGCTTACATGCCACAAGGCACTGTGACTTGCAGCGGGCGTGGAGGGACCTCTCTGTCATCTCCAGCTTCACCCACGGGACCCAGGGTGCAGGGGGAGACAGGTATGGCTGGTGCTGGGCAACCCGGCCTGGAGACGCCGAGCTCAATGAAAAGCCTGGTGCTCAGTCCGGAAACCCGAGTTCTAGGCCCAACTTACCCTTGACTTTCATTTTCAACCACAAATGACATGCTCGAGGGAGTGTGGTGTTTATGGTAGATTCATTTAGTCTCCACGAATTGAACTGCAGCCCCTGCCAGGAGGGAGGGAGGGAGCTGCCGGTGCCCCACCGCTCTGTTCTGGGGACGTTGGCCTTGTGGTGGCCAAGAGGGAAAAGCGCCCCTAGTTGCTCTTCGTCTCCCCAAAACACGTGTGACCGTAATGCCGTTCCTGGTTACACAGCCCCTAAACCAGGGGTGTCCTGGAGGGCGCAGGAGAGCAGGTGTGTGGCCCTGCTGGTAGCTGGAAACCGGCCACAGTGGGGATGTTCACAGCACGCTAGGAATCAGGGCTTGTCCCACACCGACCAGCACACCCCGCCCTGAACGCACAGCAGTCCCGCTGTTCAGGAGAGGCGGTGAGCCCAAGTTCCAGCCCCGGGAGCGGGAGTGGGACCTCCGTAGAGAGGGGCGGTGGGGAGGGGTGTCAGTCCCCGCTGTGCCACCAGAGCCCGAAGGGCTGCCTCAGGGCGCACAGTGCCGGGAAGGTGGCCCCATAGCCAGGGGCAGCAAGCACAAGCCCTTCAGTGGTGGAGGGCTCCTCCGGCTGTAGTTTAGGATTCGTGATCTTCCTGTGTATGTTACACTTCTATTAAAAATGTGTTTGTAAAGGAACCCCTGAGTCCGCGATGTGGGTGCTACCTAAGCATCCGAAAGTGAAGCGTCTCCCGTGCCTGTTACCCTCACGGCTGTTGCCTGAGAATCAGGGGTTTTGAGCAAGGAAACCCGAAGTGCTCACAGGGGCGGTGTGTCACCAAATCCACCATCTTAACACCTCCCACCTCTCTGCCCTGGAGCTCCAGGGACCATGGTATCAGCAGTCCCGTCACAAAGGAGTGGTTGTGGCAGACCTCCTGGTCCCCACCAGGCTCCCAGTGAGTGGTGGTGACAGCGGCCATGGAGGGTGCAGGGTGGGCTGGGGAGGGACACGGGGCCCATGCCCGGGGCACCTGGCAGGTCTGGAGGTGGAGCAGGCCTCCCTTGGGACATGGCCTGAAGCTGAGGCTGGAGAGCGGAGCTGGCTCAGGCAGGAAAGGGACACCCTGCCGAGGAACCTGAGGTGGGAAGTAGGGCCTGGAGGAGAGAGCTGGGAATGGCAGCTAGCGCCTGGGGCCCTGGGCAGGGTGACGGAAGCCAGGGCGGGGAGGGGCCAGAGCCAGGGCTGGAGACCAGCAAGGAGGCCGAGGCTTGTGAGGGCCATCTGCAGCCTGGCGCAGGGTGTCAGCCTCAGGGATACACAGAAACAGGCTGGAGAGGTGCACCTACCACCCCACCACCAAGATCTTGGGTCCACAAGCCTCCCCCCAGGTCTCCACCTGAGCCTCCAAGCACAGCCAAGTGGCCTGTGAGGTTGGAGCGCAGCTGGGTGAGCAGAGGTCGGCCCCAGCCGGCCAGGCTGGTAAATGGAGGGGTGAGGGCAAGGCCCGCAGGGCAGGGAGGTGGGGGCAGCCACTGAAGTCTTCTCAGAGAAAGGAAGAGGGGGCAGGTGGGCAGATCGGCAGCTGGGGAGGAAGAAGGTGCCCTGGGTCCGGGGTCAGAAATGAGGAAGATGGCAGGGCTGGGCCAGGGCTAAGCAGTGGTGTGGGCACATCCCCGGGATGTCATCCGTCTTGGCTCTGTGACCTCAGGCAAGCCACCTCCCGGTGCCTCAGTGTCCTCATCTGTTAAATAAGTGTCCTGAATAAAGCACAAGGAACAAGGTTTACTGTGTGGTCTCGCCTGTAAACTCGGAGTTCGACAGTGTACGGTCTCATCTTCCAAGCACATGGGACCTGTCGCTTGTCAAAGCTGTCCCCTCCGCGGCCACACTCTTGGTGGAACCTTGGAATATCCCCAAGAAGTCAGCCCTAGTGGCCTGTGCTGGCTGAGGACACTGAGATCACCTGGCCCAGGATCACCCAGCCGAGGCTGGGTCTTGTGGCTAGGCCCCTCTCCCCAGATCAGACCCCGAGGAAGGCTCCCTTCCCCCCTGAATTTCAAGCCCCGCTGCCTGCCAGGGTGAGGACAGGTCTCTGGTCTGCAAGGCAGGCCCCCCACCAGCTGCCGGGTCCTAGCGGTGCTTGCGTGGCATTTAAAAGACCGCAATAACGATTGAACACCCTATTACCCAGCTGCCTAATTAATGTAAATGAGAGCTGCCAGCCGCTCAGCGAGACTGATGCTTCTCGGCGGAGGCCCTGCCAGCCACCCGGGCCCCATTCCAGGGTCGTTTATGGGGGCAGCCCCATTCTGGCTTTGGCTGACTTACGGGTAAGTCACGGCCCTAAATAATGAAGACGGAGTGCTAATGGGCCCCCGGAAGCCAGGCAGCTCAGGCTCCAGTCCCCGAATCAGAGGCATTCCCTCACAGCTTCTTTCCTCAGACCCAAAGGCTCAGCTGCCCCCGAAACCCAAGTGGCAAGAGATCCTAGGCCTTCCGGCAGGGAGGCGAAGGAGCACGTCTCCCGGTCTCCCACATGTAAGGCAATCCTCTGAGGCCTGCATGGCCTGGCCCCCTCCCTCCAGCCCCACCTGCAAGCTCCTTCCTGTCCTGGAGCTGCAGGCCAGGTTTGCCCAGGACCACTCAGGGTTTAGCACAGTCCCAGGCAAACCCGGCCAGTTGGCCATCCCAGTCCAGCCCCACTAGGATGGTCTTTCTGGTTCAATATTCCGCTCCTT